GCTGGAGGTGACACGCGGGCTTCAGGACCCAGATGATTGCGGCCAAATAGTTATATGCCACACGTATACCATATGCCAACTGGCCACACGGCCCATATCTACTTGGGCGTACATATAAAGCGGTTTGCAATCTGCGATTTAGGAAACGAGATTGCAGGCCACATAATTTGCTTGGATGCGCTAATCGAATCGGTCAGTAAGTTGTCTCCAGAGCGTTGTCTGTGGGTTATTAAAACTTAGTTTGATCGAAAAAAACATATCACCTAAGATAAAAATGGGATAAATAACCTCATTGCTTAACCTTACTATTTCTAATAGTATGGTATGATCCGCTTTCTTTTAAATACCTTACCACACCCTAATTTAAATCTGGATTTTAAGTACCCTGGGAGAACCACTTAAGCAACAGAAAGACCACCTGTCCTATCCTGACCTTTTGACCCCCAGCCGCCAAACTTCGCCGAAGTGCATTTCTCGCATTTTAACCTTTTTAACTGACCAGAAACCCAATGCACCAGCCGTTGATGAGGGAGAAGCGGTGGAAAAGCCGGGGAAATGGGAAAAGGAATTGGGTTCAGTCAGTCGGGGCGAAAAACAAATATAATGCCGAAAAAGCGGAGGGATCGGCGCTTTTGCCTGTCAAAGCGCGAATGCCAAAAATGTGCAACGCCAGCGGAAAAGCGGAAAATGCGGAAACAAACAAAACAAAAGTAAGGGCAAAAACAGAGCAAAAAAAAAAAAAACAAAAAACAAAAATGGAAACAACAATGGGAAAACCGCAACGAAGAATGTTTTCATACGCCCCGTGTGTCCGTGTGCGAAAAGGTGCAAAAATGTAGCAGCCGTTAAATATTTGCACGAGTAACAGCAACAGATTTTCAAAGGCGATTCTAGCTTCGAATGGCCTTTTCGACGGGTTTTTGCCAACATTGCCAACGCAGATCTGCATAATTCTCTGCCGACCGCCAGAAATCACTGCATTATTTGAATGGTCAGCTGGGTTGGCTTTGTTGGCCTGGTTGGCCTGGTTGGCCTGGTCGGTTGCCCAACCCAACTGTTGTCGGTTGGGAAATATTACAAATTTCATAATTAGAAAGTTTCCTTGCTCTGCTAATTAAGGCGGCTTCCTTCCGGTTAAAAAGGTACAAGAAAAAAGCTTCACCCGCTCCCCTTCTCCGCTCATCACGCTCATATTCTCTAATTGGCAGCTTAATCAAATATACACCCATGCTCAAAAACACACACACTTATACATAATTGAGGGAAAGGTGGCTGGGGAAGGGGTGGAGAAAGGGTTGCGAGAAAGTTTTGACATGCGGAGCAAATGAAGCGAGCGCAAAAGATGATTTCCATTATGAGTCGGCCAATAAAAAGACGAGCAGGTGAACAGCAAACATTTCTGCGAGGGCGGCTTTAAAAGTTGGCTTTAAACTGAAGCTTAAAAGGATATAACTTTAGAAAAGTTTACCTGAAGTTCCTTTAAATTCAATTATACATAGTTATTTAAAAATTGTTTGATGGTAAAAAACTTACACAAAATTTTATACTTTTGAAGCGGATGACAAAACTCTTTGCCACTGTATTATAACCAACTGGTTGGTCTGCCCATATTGCGTTTTCCTCGACACTTTTCAACTTTTATTATGACTGTCTTAACGCTACTCATCCTGCGCTTCATTGTAAGCCGTCTAATTCGGTTTGCTTGTTTATCACCTTAATTAAGACCCGGCTGAAAGCGCCGACAAATGGCTAATAAGAAAAATGAATTTTATTTGCAACACACGGCAAGTTGCAACAATTGGAGACGAGTGGAGGACTCCACTCAACTTCCACTCCACTTGCCGCCTTCCACTTTCCACTTTCCACTCAAAACATCTTGGCTCATCTCGAGTCGGCTCTTAACCCCCTCCACACCCGTAACCCCTTAACCCGTTTGCCGATGGTCGCCAGGGGATTTGCTCATATGAAACGTGTTAATATGCGAGGCGGCGCACGTTCCAATTGGAAGGGGGCGTGTCTGTTAAAGGGGGCGGAGCGGTAGGATGGGTTTTGGGTGGGCAAAAGAATGCCCGTTGAGAGGCTAAATCAGCGTCTCAAGTGGTTTCCTCTAGCCTTTCATGGGGCTTAATTGTACTGCAAAAAATATATGCCCTTTCAATATAAAAATATTTAAATTATGTATTTAACTCAGCAACGAAGTACCCATTAATATATTTAAAATTACTCTTTAATACAAGCAACCATTATTTACTTATGAAATTTCACCTTTTATTGTTAATAAACCTTTTTTTTCTCAGTGCCCTTCTGAGTACCCCATGTGGGTCTGAGTATCTTGCCGTTTGTTTGAAATTTCACCAAGCCTCGCAAGTAATGGGTAGAATTTTTAATTATTTACACTCACACACCGAACGGAATACTTGACGGCGAGCTAATTTGTTATGCGAAACATCTTCGGCATGGAAATAATTAAAAAGTTTTTTCCATCACTTCCACTCCCTTTTAAGTCCCCACTTTCCTTGTTGTCCTTATATCCTTACATCCTTATAGCCCCATATCGATCTCTTATTTATCCGGTGCTTAATTCGCGTCCCCTTAACCCCCTGTTGGCCACCTTTTTGCGGTTATTCCGCCTCCACTCCTCCGTTTTGTTACGCTCCGTGTCACGGAGTCTTGCAGCTCGCCTGTATTTTTATGGCCACACACAGGTGAGATCCGGACGGACTCCTCGGATTTTGCCCGGTTCCGGGTGGACTACTCGGTTTGCAGCTTAATTGGATGCCACAATGTGAAATAAATTGAGCAGAAAATTACGTTGCCCGCCAAATCCAAGCCACACGGAGATGGCATTAGAGAGAGACGGCGATTGGTAATATCCCAGCCAGGTCATAAGTTTTGGACCCGGCCAATTGGCCCCGACGGCATCGTAAAACGGCTGCAGAGAAAAGAGGAGAAAATCTAAAGTGAAGATAGGATTGTCTGCAAATTAGAATGTAACTAACCAAAATGTAAGCCCTTCAAAGAATCGAAAATCGAAAAGGCCATATCCGTTTAACAATACTTACGATAACCCATTTTAAGTAATAGAGATTAATAAGCCATAAAATAAGAACACCATCATCACAATTTGTTATTAATTTTCATAATTTTATTTAATATAATTGTTGAATTTAAGTTTTATTTAGATCTTTTTGAGTTTTTACTTCGGCTTAGTTTCTTTTTCCTCAAATAAAATATTTTAATTACATGTATTTATATTATTACAAAGAACTCTCGTTTGCAGTGGTTTTTATTGCACAAAATCTTGGTTTAATTTCTATATATTTAAATATGCGGGGATCTTGGCTAAATTATACACATAGTTTCTGTATTTTCTTTGGATTTCCCATTTCCTGTGGTATACATCAATTACATTTTACTGCGACTCTGTTAGTTATCGTGTATAATTATGTAAATATTTAAAGAATGTGCTATTTTGGACATTTCTTACCGATTCCTTATATCTATTTACCGTTCGCGTAGTATAGTGTTTGCTTGGAATTTAAGTTGCTGTCGCATTCTTTTTTGTTTTTACCACTTACGAGCTAACAAAAAAAAAGAATTACATTATAAGTTTTCAAGTGTCATAGATTGCGGTTGCGGGCGTGCGGTCTACCATTTAGTATATAGATATCTCGTTATATGCATATTTATAGTTAGATATAATTCTTTTTTATTTTGTTTTGTTTTTGGTTAGCTTAGATTGCACATGTTTATACACATTTAAAGGACACGCAGATCGAAGCACATGAAATGAACAGTAAACAAATTCACGAACATGGATTACGGCTTAGGAACTCAGACATACATCGGCTCTACGACCCGCCCACTCAAAAAATCCCCCGATAATACCCTTTTCCATTCCCAACATTCATATCTTACAAAAACGAAAAAACAGGAAAAATCACTAAAAATCAACTTGGCTTTGGCTTCACAATGTTTACGACTAGTTTAAAGTTTCTAGGTTTTTTCTTCGGTTTTTTTGGTATTCGTTTTTCGGTATCGTATTTCCGTAATTACTAATAATCGCTTATATGACTAGTTTTATGGCTCGGGCTTACCACGGGCCTGGAAAAAATACAAAAAAAAAATAACTCGATACAGACCCCATGCTGTTTAAAATTTATATAATTTTCTTGTTTTCTTTATGTCTTAAAAATCCACAGAAAAGTGGCGAAAGGGCTAAATTTCCGCCCTCAAATTTGCTAAATATTCATTTCTTACTCGCTAATTTTCTTTATTCTTGTTTCTTTATTTAACTAGTTGCTATACGGAGAGCCTTGAAGCACTCAACAAATTCTACTAGGAGTTGATAATTTTTGTTTCCTTTATATGATCATAAGGTTATGAAAAAAAAAACACACACACACACTTTCACAAACTTCTAGAGATTTAAAAACAATGCTTTAGATGCCTATTAGTGAGATATGAAATACTTTAAGTCCCTCTTAAACTATATACAAGCTAATTATATCCATTGGTTTACATAAATCAAATTCTTCACTTGTGGACACCCAAACATATACTTTTTTAGTCTCCATGGATTTCGGTTGCATTCCGGGTATATACAATATTTTTCGGAGATAGGGGTTTGATTAAATGGCGATTCTGGTTTTTGATAATCGATTAAAATCTATGGGAAGTTTTTGGTGGAAAGAAAAAATTTGTAAATATTAATAGAAGTGTTTCTTTTGCAGTAATTTATACTTTGGGAAATCTTAACTTTTCATATCGACTATCTCCAACTGAAATTCGCCATTTGACCCCCTTTGCTGACTATATACAGACTAGAAACCGCCGAAGCAGTTCATGCCCCCGCCCATCCCCAGTCCCGTTCCCATTCCCATTCCCATGCCCACTCCCATGCCCATTCCCATGCCCATTCCCGCCCCCGCCCCCGCCTCGTGCTGCGGCCCGCCCCCCTCGCACTATAGAACCGCCGAGCCGCACCACAGAACCTGACCTCAATAGGGCCTCCAAACGCTGCCCCCATTGTCGGTGGGATTGTGGTGGCCGCGATGGGCAGCTAAGGCGGCCACCTGCCGGTTGCTATTCCCGTCCTCGATGTTCCTCACCGACGCCCCACAATTCCCGATGAGGGTCAGATCGCCCGGATGGGTCACCCCGCCGCCGGTCATGATGTTGTGCTGCTGCCGCACGCCCACATTGCTGATGTGGTCCATCACGCTCTGCAGCTCCCCGTGCACCGAGGAGTTCGGCGAGGCGTGGGCGGGCAGGGTGTGCGAGTGGAACCCGTGGGCGGACTGGTTGGCAGCGGTGTACAGTTGCGAGTAGAGCAGGCTGGCCGGCAGCACGGGATACAGCGATCCGTTGCATCCGGCGGCCGCAGCAGCGGCGCTGCCATGCCCACCGCCCACCACGCCCGAACCGCCGCCATAAGCGGAGGCCGCCGAGTGCTGCGCCTGGTTGACGATGCCCGGGAAGTTCTGGTTCGCACCCAGCATGGCCGGGTTGCCCACCGCCGAAGCGGCACTGCCGCCCGCTCCGCCAGCTGCCGCACCACTACCGCCGGCATTCGCGGCACCACCGCCGCCGTTGGCCGCCCCACCACCCGCCGTGCTGCCCAGATTCGGTGTGTTGGTGGTCAGCAGGTCCTCCTGCACCGGCGACTCCGCCTGCGAGCTGTCGCTCAAGCTGCGCGGTCCGTTCTGGCTGGAGTGGACGTTGTACTCGTTGCTCGCATTGGTGTGATATCGCGGCACCAGTATCGAGTTGCCGCCCGCCCCGCCGCCGCCCGCTCCGCCGCCGCCGCTTCCCGCTCCGCCGCCTGCCGCACCGGCTCCTGCACTGCCGCCGCCGCTCGCTCCGTTCACCGTCGAGGAGATCGACGTCTGGCCGCCGGCGCCCAGCAGGCTGTGGTGCGTCATCTGGCCGCTGGTCGAGCCCACCAGGCTGCTCAGGTGCTGGTCCAGATCGCTGGCCGTCGAGTCGGGCAGCACTGCAAGAAAAAGAGCGGGGAAATGACCATAAGCAAAGATATTAAATATTGTATTATACAATATATGTTAAATAAAACAGACCTTAAATGATTTCAAACATTTTTTATCAAAGAACTTTTGTTACAAAAGAAAAGTGTTATTTACGAGTATGTGTTTTTAAAATATTAAGCTTTTCATAATATTTTAGTATTTATAATTTGTAAATTTATTTGTAATTCTGATTTCATCAACTTTTAAACTTATTTTCTTACTTCAAAGGTATTTTGGCTGACAAACTTACTTGGAACGCAGTCGCGATTGGTGGCGCCTCCGAAGTCCTGGTTGTTGCTCTGGTCATTCGAGGAGCATGTGAAGCCCAACGCTGGATTGTTGAACTGGGCGGAAGTGGGCGTGGTGCAGGACGATAATCCGCTGCTGGCCAAGTAAGGTGAATACGCCGAGGCCGCCGATCCATATCCCCAATGCGTGTTGCTGGCACCTAAAATAAAAAATAAAGTAACTTGTTTAGAAGAGTGTTTCATGAAAAAAATATAAATAAGTATGAGATTTACTGAATCTTCAATTTCCAAAAATATCATCAATGTCATTCTAATAAAAACTTTACCAAGCAAAGCCTATATTTAAAAACCAAATAAATACAAGATAATTATGTATTAGCAGCAGACCCGATAAAGGGTTCGAATTTATGGTCCATGTGGGCCTCTAATTGGAGGTTACCCCTTCTCCCTCTCCCCCTCCCCCTCCCCCTTGCCCTCTTCCCCTCACATTATGCGGGACCTTTGCCGCCATTTTGCGGAGACAGGAAGTAGAAAAAAACGAGGCGGCAAACAAATCAATGGAATGGAATGGACGAAGGCCTGCCGAAAATTCGGTTCAGTTTAGCAAATTGTGTGGGGCTTTCGGGGGTTAAACGGAAGCCGGGGAAGAAGAGTCAACATTTTGCGGGTCGCCGGGACCCATGCACAGATAATTAGGCTTAATTAATAGCCCATTCGGAAATTATTAATTAGTTTTTATAGGCGACGGGCGCGTTTTCGTAGCCGGATATTGATTTTGTGGTGGCTTTATTAATGCTATTGGCTTAAATGTTTCTACCTCCATTAATTACGTGGCTTTTTGTGTACAATTTTCTCTGTGGGATGTGGGCTACTCTACACGGTGTCTGTCATTATCCGCGCCAGTGTGCGTGTACCAGTATGTCGGTGTGTGTGTGTTTGTGTGTGATTGTGTGTGTGCGAGAGTGGTTAGTCCTGCCTGTTTGTTGTCACACTGATTGACTTTATTTGCGCATATTTTCGGGCCCTGAATTATTAACAAGGCGACGGACAGAGGACCATTTTGGGTTTTTTCCAGAGGTTGAGGCAATACGAAATATATGCAAATATTTTATTATATCGCTCGAAGGCACAGAACTCTTTTTAAAGCAACAAAACAAATTTGTAGAGGGGCTAACTAAAATGAAATCTATTTTAAGTAATAAAACCCATTAAGCCTTTGAATATCAAATTGTAAAAAGTATTTTATAAAATAGATAAAACTGTTTCTGTTTCTGCGCTAACCAAGATTCATATTATTCCCATTGACCATAACTCGTCCTTTAATTCCTTTACAAATGTAAATGCGTTGCCCTTCGTTTTTCCGGTCGGGTTTGGTAGTGTTTTTTTTTTTTTTTTTGCGAAATTAATAAAATATATGCCAGTAATTAACTCAAGCAGCGACTGTCAATAAAATTTGTTAATAAATAATTCAGGATACTTTGCTTTTTGCATATTTACAATTAATTTATGGGTAATCAGTATCAACAGACGCTTTCAGAAATCATTATTTACTTGTGCGTTGTTACCCACGTACATACATATTTATGTGTGTTATATAATGTGGATTGCCTTTTCAGAATCCTGTAAATCGTGCAATTTGCATTTTGATTTGTGCACTGGGCTAGACGGTAAAATATTGACACAAAATGGGCGTAAAAATGGGGTTGACCTGCGAAGGAGATGTCCAAATTGGCAGGCAATTTGCGCACTGATTGAGTTGCATTTTATATTTATGACGAGTTTCTTTTTTTTTTTTACATTCACTGTTTAAGTTCACCGGAATCGTTATTGGCCAGGGGCGGTAATGAAAGATAAGTGGCAGATGCTACAAATAATAAATTGAGAAAACACTTGAGTGGGGAATTTATATTAAAAGCCAGAGAACATCGGATTAGAATTTGTAAATATTTTCCCCGCACTTCGAAGGCTATTTAAACTTAGTGGTTTGCATTTGTAAAACTTTGAACAACTTCAAATATTATATTTAAATTTTATTTATAATAATGGAAAATAAATGTAAGAGATTTTCAAACGAAATATGAAGTTATTATTGTGTTTTAAAATATTTTTCGCAAGCAAAATTCTTTTTTCATTATTTTCCACGTGTACTAACGTTTTTATGCCCAACTCTTTGTCTTTGCGTTTTTCTACTTTAACATCGTTAATATGTTGATTTTATTATTTTCAGCTTTTTTAATAGCATCAAGCTCTAAAGAGAAAATCACATTTGTAGCCGTTGCAAACTTTTTTTTTTAGCCTCGGGCAGCTAGTTTTTTGGAAAGGGGAAGTGGACAATGTCTAGTCCGGCTTTTGTTGTTGGTGTTGTTGTAATGCAATTAATTGTCAATTTAAATTGAAACATCAAATTTAATATAAATGCATTTTAAAATGAACAATTAAATTTATTTCACCTACGTAAACACACGAGCAAAAACGACAGGAAAAAATGTCTCCCGCAATATTAATTATTGATTTTGTTATAAATATTCTATCAATAGAAACTGGGTAAAAGTGAAGTATAAAGGGACTTGTTATAATGTTGGATATATAGGGTATAAAAGCAATGTATAAATTATTAAAAAAAAAAGTACCAACGGTCAAATCTAAGCAAACGTTTTTAAAAATTAAAAAACAAACTAAATATCTAAGTAATAACTTTTTGCTGGGTATCAAATTTTCGATTTCATTTCAAAAATACCATTTTGCTGCTTAGCGTTTGAGCTGTCAAAATTGGTTTATATTCGCTTGGTTAAATGCATTAAATTTATTTGACTGCGTAGTTTTTCATTTAAATCATAATTTGTATGCGGAACTCTGATTTAAAAGAGCTTTTTTAGGCTTTGACTTTTTTCTCCACCCATTTTTTGTGTGTATGCTTGTGTTTGACCAACGTTTATTTGTTTGTATAGTAAACTTTGGTTAAATAAAGTGGCCAACAGTTTAACAGCAGCAATAACAACGAACCCACTTAGCCCAGAAAAAAAATATATGGCAAGGTGACCCGCAATTTTACCACATTCAAATGGTTGTCCAACGGCAATAATACGAAAAAACAACACCAGTTTTTAAAGTTGTTTTTTTTTTACTCATTAACAGGCGACACGTTTGCATTTGTGTGAGTTCTCCTACGCTTGTGTTTGCCAACAAAATGGCTGAAATTTAAAACAAGTTCTCGCAAAGGTTTTAAAATTAAAATAAATGTACAAATAAATTTAACATTGGTTTCGCCAAAGTATTTAAGCTATATTAAAAGAAAGTTAAAGTATATAATAAATATGGATTAAAGGACTACTTACTTTGACAATTGCCAATGGGCGGCATCCGGAAGCCGGAAAGTGGATCCGTGGAGAAGTGGAACGGTCTTTGGCCAAAAGCGAAGTGGAACTGCTGTTGCTGTCCTAAAAGGGATAACACTAAGTTTTTTTCAGTTATAATTTTCTGTCCTTAACTAAATGGTTTTATTGCACAAGAACACTGGTCGATAGCAAATTGTGTGAACTTTTATTCTATACATATAAAATACTCAACATTAATGACTTAACTTTTTTTAAACATTTTAAAAGTTATTCATTTGTGATCGACCACTGTACTAAGTATGTGTTTTTGTGTAAATGACTGCATTCGTTTTTCTTTGTCTGAGGGAAAACTTAAATGACAAGCAGTTGATGAGTGACATTTTGTTGCTTTCGGTTCACTTAAGATGTTGAGACGGGTTTTCCTCCCCCGATTTCCAGAGCCCCCAACATAAAACTATCGACAATGGATTTTGTGTGTATGTGAGAAAGTGAAATGACAATGGCCCAAAAAACTTTTTGCCAACCGGCGACACTTTCAGCTAAATTTTGGGGCCGCACTAAAATCCTGCGGCGGTTGCAGTTATCTGCCAGCTTGTATTCATTATAAAATAATAACCTTTTGTCTGCAGCTTAACGCCCCTGTGTGGCCCAAACCCGCACATTTTGGACTGTCTGGCATTCGGGGCATATAAATCATTTCATGGATTTGAATTCGGACCGAAACCAGATTACACAGACCAGCAAAACTTTTGCCCCGCCGCCCCACTGCCGCCTGAATCCTGAATCCTGGAACATATGCAAAGTGAAATATTTGCATCCTTATAAATATGTAAAACGGGCAGGCAGAGTGTGTGATAGAGCTGTCTAATGAATATTCCTTCAAGATATTCGCCATTCTGTGCCGGAGTGAAGTGAAATGAAGTGAAGTATTAGCAGGGAAGTGTCCTTGCTGCCTTGGCAAAATCTCGAGGAAGGACTTCACGTGGATCGAGATTCGTCTGTGTGCATTTAAATTTTTCTCCATAGAGTTGAGCAGTTTTAGCTATTAATTGTTTTAATTTAATAGGTAAAGATCAAAAAACTTTTTACTCTTAGATGACCATTAAAAAAATAAGGTTTTTTAATTCTGGCAATGAATATAATAATTATATATGTTATATTATATATATATATTTTATATTACATAATTTTAGAGTTCAACGCAATAAAATAACAAAACTATGACCTCTTTTCTTCTATTTTCCCCAACAAAGTAAGTAAAAAAGGGTACAACTTATTTTCCCTGCTCCTTTCATCACTGTATATCCAAATACCATTTGAGCCATCTCTATATCTATCTCGTCTGCAACTCGGAACTGCCTGCTGCTGCAGAGCAATTTATCTATTTGGCAACTAATAAATTGTTATGCATTGTCCTGCAAATGGAATGCCCCTGAACCGGAGGTCCTGGAAAATGGGGGAGGGTTCCAACTCTTCCTTGGAGGAAATACTTACTTGTCTTGGAGCGGGGTTCCCGTGGCCCATCGACAGTCACTTTGATCGCCTTGTTGTAGGTGGCTATGTGCGGTGGATTCGTTGACACGGTGATGGTTAGCGTGAAGCTCTTCCCTGCAAAACAATCCAAGAGAAACAAACAAGTTTATGAGATTTTCCCTGCTAATGTCAGACAGACATGCAAATCAATAAGCGTGTTTTTTCGGTTTTCTTTTGGTGTTTTCTTTTTTTTTTGGGGGTATTGTCACATCGTAAATGTGTTGGCCATAAAACAATAATGACTTGTTGGTGACAGTGGACTACTTTTTTAAGGAGGACATGTTCCTTGGTTGGGGATTCTTGTATCTAAATCGATTTATACGGTTTTATGGCAAAACTAAGTTATGAACTTTGACCTTTCATTAAAACAGAATTCCTAAAAACAGAATTTCCTAACGAAACCTTTTCAAATACGCTTCCTGTGAATACCCACTTCTCTATACATTTTTTCTCCAACACTCCCTTATTTAAATTCAATTCTATTTCCCTTTTACCTTTCAAAATAAAGAATTAATTACAATTTAAACTGATTTAGTCTGCTGTCCCCCGAAAAACCCTTCACATATGCGTCTTTCGCGCCCCAAGATTTATTTCGTTTGCGCCGCAGTTTTCTTTTAATTAACTTGTTCCAGCCAGTCATTGTCAAGTGTTGCCAAGCGCTTTTTGTTCGGGGCTCCTTGCCGCTTTTTTGTCGCCCGGGATTCAATTAAAAGCATTTCAGGCTTCTTGAGCCGCCGCCTTCCTGTCTTCTCTACGTTTGTCTATGACAACGCGGCGTATGTGTGATTTTCCGGGGAGGATGGGCGTTTGCTTTTTAAGTTGACAAACAAAGCGTAAATCATTTCGGCACATACAAATAAACCGCCGACGACCCCAAACCTCTCCAAAGATAAATGTATATGTGTGTGTGTGTGTAAACGCAGACGGAGAGGCTTACACATGTCCTGGGCACACTCCACTGAATCAGGACAATATCTTCTCCCCGAACTCAACGTTCTTTTTCGATGCGCAGGGCATAAAAAATGAAGTCTCAAGTGGCAAGCCAAAGATGGGAAAACACTTTTGTGTTCATTCGCCATCAAGTGCAGTTCATTGTTGCGCAATTCTTTGACACTTTTCGTGGCACTTTTCCGGGCAAAAAGTGGGTGCTCACGGAAAAGTTGTGAGATTGGCAATGGATAATCGATCATTAAAGCGAGTAATTGTGGAAAAACAAGAAGGAGTATTTTTTCCATGGGAACAAACATTTGTTGGTAGGTTATTCATAAAGAAATTTGTACTTTAAAGCCTGATTACATATCATGTTAAATTTAATGTACTTTAAATTACTGATTAAATCACTTTAAGAACTTCTAATAACTTCAGAATTTCCAGGGAATGTGCAAACCTTTTTGGGTAAGTTTCAACTGTAATCAGAGCGGCGCCCTTTGACCCAATTGATTGATAATCCCACAATAATTCCCACCCAAACCCAAAAAGCATTCATCTTAATCTCCGCCGAAAGTGCGACAAATGGAAATGTCAACACTTGAGGAGCAAAACATTTCCGTGTGGGTGTGGCGGCATTTAAAATCAAATCCTGTTGACAAATAACCTGAAATCCTAGCTGGCAAATCCCCAGCAATTTACCGTTGCACAGGCGTCATAAATCAATTTGGGGGTAATGAAATCACACACACACACACACACGCACTTATGAATTCCACCCCTCACAGATATACTCACTCACAATAGTTAAGGACTCGGAGGTTGTGCTTATTAAACGTATATTCAATGTTCCCCTTTCTTAAATCAAAATTTATAATAAGATTTGGTATCTGCTTAAAAGATATTCTTATCCAAAAGTGGCTTCATCATAAGTCTTTCTCCCACTTTATTTCTTGGCCAAAAAAGGCTAAGCCCTTAAAAGCCTTCAAATCCAGTCAGTAAGTCGGTCCAACACCAAAATAAAAACATTTTGCGGCTTCTTCGGTTTTCATCTTTTTTTTGTTTGCTTATTTTGATTGCTTGTTGATTTCTTGTTTGTGTTTACCTGAGGGTGGAAATATGCTCGAATGATTGATTGCAGGTGTGGGAAGGAACATTCTTGAATGGGGTAACACAGAATGCTCTACATTAAATAAATACTGAGTTTATTGAATTATCAGAAAATAATATTTGGTAAAAACTTTGGTTAACTCTTCACACAAAAATAATCCAGTAAAACCTATTTTAACAATCTTTTTTTTACTCATTTTCGAGGATTATAGTGTTCAGTACTATGTAAACCAAATTTTTGGTCAACTTTAATTGGTTTAATTGGATTTGAACCCCGGGCTGGCCTTTTTCCCTGGCTCCAAGTTGTATTAAATCTGCACCGCGCCCATGTGGCGTATGAGTGATTTACATTTCATCCGCCACCGAGGTCGACGCCATTTTGTTTCGCTGCCGTTGCTGCTGCTGCTGCTGCTGCTGTCTAATTACAATAACAAATGCATGGCGCATAGGTGGTACGTCGGAACCCCCACTACCACCCACCAGCACCCCTCTCAACTCCCCCGCCCTGTCGTGCAATTTAATTACCCGGCCATCGATTTATTTGGCCCAACGCTAGGCTACACTTTTAATTAGCAAAGTGCCATGCACATGCACGCATGATGATGACGACGACAACGATGGTGTTTATTGCTGGAGATGGGGGTAAAAGGGGGGAAAGGGGGAAAGGGGAAAGAGGAAAGGGGGGTTATCACGGGGAGCTTGGCGCTTAAACGGGCTAAAGTCGGTGCCAGTTTACGCCAGTTACGACACCCCATCCTCGGGCAGGAAAAAGGCTTACCCTTAATCGAAGGCCATCCCCTTGAGGTTTTTATTTACACAATTCCCGAGCCATTTAATACGGCCGAAAAACAGCCGCAAAATGAACTGAGCCAAGAACTCCAGAAAACCCAAACCCCTTTCCCCCGCCAAAAGATAAACATTCCCCAAATCTTGGCGACAAAAGAGACAACAACCCTCCCCCGAAAGGCAAAAAAAAACCCTCAAAGATAAATGCCTAGCAAAAGTCGAGGCGTTAAAAAGGCAAAGGAAAAAAGGACAACTTTCTGCCAGCAACTGACACCTTGTCCTGTGAAAAGGACACGCCTGTCGGTGGAAAAGGAAAAACAAGGAAACAAGGCAGCAAGGAAAACCCCCGGGCGAAAGGAAGTCATGCCAAATTGTGCACAATTTGCTTTTGGCTTGCCTTCTGTTCTTTTCAATTTTTTCCCCCCGTTTGGGGAGCTTTGTTTTCCGCTCGAAACTTGATAATTGGGCGGGCCAAGGGTGGAGATTTTCCCGGAGGGCCCCGGTGCTACATTTTCGGGGCAAGCAACAGGCGAACGATTGTACAAGCTCACAGTTATCATAATTTGGTGGGTTAAATGGTACAGGACTGAAACGGGTTAAACACTAAAACGATGGTGTACTTTTTTTATTAAGTACACAAGTCAAAATCATTTCCATGCATTTAATGAAAAAATCAACAATCGACTAGAAAGTGCAAGATGAGATCTTTTCAATAGCGATCTTTTGAGTTCTTTTCGGAACGCGAAAGTGGAAATCGTTTCCTAAACTCGACGGCGCGATTGAGGAAAGTGCGCAGCTTTCCCTGATTGCGGCCATTGTCCGCAAAGGAGTCCGGATCTTGGCAGTTCAGCAGTATCTCCTCGGCCTTCACTTGATTGGCAATGTTTCCGTTTCGCCGCAACGTGCGTCGGGTCAGCTGATCCAATCTGGTGCCCACCACCAAAATCGGAACATGTTCGCGCTTCAAAATGTCTCGAGTGCGCCGATGGCGATGATGGCAAATCTGACTCAGCGGATCGTACAGCGAGTCGTGCAAGTTGTCATGGGTGCGCATGTCCTGCAGGTTGTAGACCAGGACAATGCCATCGATGCTCTTGTAGAGACTATCGCGATAGTCGCTCCGCATGCGCACACCGCTGTGGATATCGTAGAACTCCACAAAGTACAGTTCTTCCTCGGTAACCGGTGCACTTTGCGAATGGGAGTACTTGCCCGGGTGCTTCGAGCGGAAGGATGTTTGCCCATTGGGTGCATGCGAAGTGGGATACTCGTGGAGGCGCACCTGGACAGTGAAGGACTTAGCGCTCACTGTTCGGGAGGCGGGAGTGGGCGTGTCCTCGCTCCTGGCCAGCAAATTGGTCAGACTAGTCTTGCCTACACCTAACAGAGTAAATTGGAAACGCAATTTGGTATAATATGGATACTATATCATGGTAATGTTAGTTATCCCACCTTTATCGCCCAGCATCAGAATGCGAATCGTGGGCACATCCTCTATATTAAGCTCCTGCTTCATAGCTTTTTTTTCTTTTTATTTTCACTTTGACGTTCCAAGTCCCTGGCTTTATTGTTTGTTACTAATTACTATGCAGCTTGTAATAACTTACAATTGCATCTTCGCCTACTATGTTTGAATAAGTGAACGCTTTAGTATTTTGTATAGTATATTTTTGGTAAATTTATCGGAAAACAAAATCCATGTTTCCTTCATCAAATTCCACCGACTTCGTGAATGTATGGGAATTTCCCAATTAAGGCGCCTGAATGCGGGAAAACGAAGTGCGGGAAATGTGCAGCGGAAGATATTAAAGTGAAATGGAAAAGACGGAGGAGGAAATCGGATGAGAGTGACGGACGCGGACACGCATCCATTTGCCACTGGGCGAATGATGACAATGAATGAATCCCGAATTCCCGGCGAGACACAGACACGCCTCCATCCTTCCACCTTTCACCTCTCGCCTCCCATCTCCTTTCCCCCGTCAAAAGCCCCAAAAACCGCGTGTGTCCCCCTTTTCGCTGGTCGAGGCTTTGGTTTTTGCGGTTCCACCGCAGCGGATGCGTAACTGCCACCCCTTCATTCCGACCAGGCCGAAATGACCAGCGGAATTGGGCTTAGTCCATCCAGTTCTGGGGAAAACCGGCACCCATGCCGGAAATCTTTTTGGCCAGTCTTTGCTGATTGAATTATGGCTTGTGTGATTGATGGCGGGGAGTAGGCCTTTTTTTATGTAGTAAGGGGATTGCATAAGGCTCTTATTGGAAGAAAGTTTCCATTGAAATCCAAATCATTTCAATTGAAACCGCAAAACTAGAGATCGTAATCTGAAGAATCCGTGACTTCAATAAAAAATAACTTCATCTGTAAATTCAACCTCTGCAATCCCAAATGACAATCCCCTTTGCAAGGACTCCCCATTAAGGACAGGAACCCATGTCCTCCAGTTCACTTCACTTCCGTTCCGACAGTTTATTAAACACTTTAAGACAAAGCCCACGCAAATGCTGACAACAAAAAAGTGGAAAAGAGTTCCGAGTAATCCGCTTCTATTCGGTGAATGAAAACGATGACGATGATGGTTACTGCTGATGAACTGCTGACAATTTGTGCAGCGCTTAACAAGCGGTTGAAAGGATACAAAAGGACGCGGACAGGGCACCAAAAACAAAAAACGAAAAGAGAACAGAAATCAACCGAAAAAAGGATGACAGCAATGCAAAAAGTGCGCCCGAATAGCACAAAGGCGAAAAAGGAGCGGGAGTTGGCAAAACTTTTGGGGCGATAATTGAACAAATTGTTTCGAGTGCAGCAGGCGACGCGGCGCAAGTGGCAGTTCGTTGGGGCTTTCAAGGGCCAATAAGGAGCGCCACTTGACAAAAAAGTTGTGAGTTTTGAGTACTTCCCTGAAGGGCAGAGATTAAATGAAGTTGGAGTGGTATAAGGCGAGGTTTTTGGAGGGGTAAATATGAGATTGCTTTGCAGAAGGCATAGATTTCGGAACCCAAATGTACTGTATAGATCTGAAGTAGAGTTTTCTAATAAATAAAGCTTGTAATGCGTCCGCTTGCTGGATAATTCAAAAATTGAATTAAGAGGAGCAGATAATAAACAAAGTTAGAGTTGGTGATATAGTACAGAACCACTTTGCGATACATCGGTAATTTAACAATTTTGCAGTTTAATTAACTAATTTCAAGCGTGATTCTTTGTTTTATATATTTTTCTGCACCAAATTATCTTTGGGAATTCAACCATAAAAAGTGATTGCCTAAATTGCAACTCCTTGTTCTATTTGTATTTGAATATATAATATTAAAAATACGTATAAATTTTTTTTTGATTTAATTCAGGGATGGAATTTTTTATGTTTGATATATTTTTTCAAATTTAATTTGAAATGACGACTCACCTCTGCCGCTCCTGCCGACAAATCGGAGATCGTTAAACTTGGCCACCTGGTTCTTCATCACCGCCGTGCAGTTGCGCAGCTCCGCACAGTAGTTCTCGTCGTTGCCCGCCCGCACGGTGACCATCGTGCCGTCCATGATGTCGCCCAGGGAGACGACCTTGAAGGCCACCGGGAGCGTCTTGTTGCTCCGCCAGTGGGGCGGCAGAACGGTGCAGACGAAGAGCGGACTGCTCGTGCGGATCAGCTCGCCGGGGTGCTCGGTGAGGAAGTCGCCCAGCGTCCGCTCCGCCAGAATGTCAGAGGTCATCTTCGTGTACGCCTCATTCAGAAGTTGCGCCGGCGTTGGCGGTGTATTCTGTTCGGTGTTGCTGTTGTTGTTGCCGCTGCTGTTGTTGTTGTTGTTGCCGCTTGTGTTGTTGCTGCTGCCATTGGTGTTGGTCGTGTTGTTGTTGCTACTCGTGTTGTTGTTATTGGTTGTATTGTTGTTGTTATTGTTGTTGGCATTGGATGCCGTTGAATTGCTCGATGTGGTTGTTAAATGCATTTTGTAATTGTTGCTATTGCCGCTGTAGTTGTGATAGTGTTGTTGTTGCTGTGGCTGTTGTTGTTGATGTTGCTGATGTTGTTGCTGTTGCTGTTGTTGTTGCTGGTGGTGGTGGTGGTGTTGTTGGTGTTGCAACTGTAGCTGCAAATGTTGCTCCTGCTGCTGCTGCTGCTGCTCAAACTGCTCCAGTTGCCCTTGAGCGTGAGCCTGCACCTTTTTTAGCCGCACAATTTTGTCGTCCTTTAGTCGCACCACCTTGGAAAACAATCAAAGTTCAGGATTTCCCTGGCGGAGTCTCCAGAATTCTGTAACGAATATTTACCAAAATAAATTAATGCATTTTGCTTGGATATAATAATAATCATTAAGGTATCGCTAGTAAATAAACATTAAATTCAATTTTAAATCATTCTATCTTGTTCTCCACTTCTCAAGATTTAAAATCATCTTCATCCCCAAAGAATGTACGGTCTACTCTTTTCCTTGACAAACAAAGTCACTGGGTTTTCGCACCCGATTAGGTCATCAATCTCCTCCAGCTGAGGGCGGTGGCTTCAATTGCAACCTGGCGACTGCGACACCATAAAATTTCCCCATTTGGCCGGGGCCTGTTAATGTCTTTAAATCACGGCCCCAAAATGGCATATTACATGGGTCCACCAGAATGGCAAAGGGAGTTGTAAGAGTGCAGGAGTGCAGGAGTGCAGGAGTGCAGAATGGCAGGATACTGGCATGTCCATGAGCATGGCCACCATAAACACAAATCAATTGTCAACCACTCGACGGGGGAAGGACTTCAGACGGCTGCCAGGATTCGGATTGGCGGGGATTGGGGTTCGGGAGTGGAGGTGGAAGTGGAGTTGGAAGTGGAGGGAAGGGAAGGGAGAAGGGTCACATCCCAGCGGAACGCAATTTGCGTTGCACTTTTCAATTTCCGGCAAAGGACTTCATCGCCACCACTCTCCCGACGAGCATGCAACACTATCCAAATCTAGTCGCCGCTGTGCGGCATGTACGCTGCATCCAGGACGAAGGACAAAGGACGAAGGACCCTGCTGCACTCGTCACCGTAACCAGTGTCAAAATGATTGTGGACTCACGGGCGAGAATTTGTGGTTTGATACTTGCATATTTTGTCACTTGTCGACATTCGTGCAGCCCCCAGAAATCAAAAGGATCACAGCCACTGCAGGTATATTTCACATAGCAAAAACTTTCTGTTGAATTTAGAAAAAGTTTGACCGTTTTTTTTACTTATTTATTCTCACGCTTAAAAGTACTGCATACCAGTTAATTCCCATACAACTTTTCTTCATTTTTTTACGGTTTTTATCTATAAAATCGGAAAAATCCCTTTTATTGCGGAGGGGATTGGGTTTTCTCTAGTTTTTCAAAAGGCGAACTACCAGGATTATAAAATTATGAAAACAAAACTGTTGACAATTTTTTGAAAAATTTTTAAGGGCAACTTTTTTGTTACCTATTTTTACCATTTTTAGTGGTAAAACAGCCCTTCAAAACCCTACAAAATGCTGCATACCAGGTTTTTTGAATTTCGCAAAATAAAATTTTGACAACTTTTTAAAAACTTTTTTGTTGCCTATTCTTACAAAAAATTAAAAAATTTTATTTTTATTATTTAAAAAAAATTGGTATGCAGCATTTTTCAGCGTGAAGAAAAGCTAAAGAAACCCCATTTCCCATCAAAATAAAATAGTTTTTGACCGTTTTATGGAATTTTATCGGTAAAGAAACGTCGAAAACAGACAGCAGAAGGCATTATTTTCAGTGTGCGAAAGAATTCCCCCCATCTCTAGGGTTCCTTCATCCTCCACCATCCCCCGCATTGCTGACCGATAAAAATTACTTAAAAATGCCACAGCTCATGGGTTGACTTTTGGCCAACAACGGACAAAAAGCATAAAAAAGGAACACGGAACAAAAGAAAAGTAGCGAAAAAACGCTGTACACAAAATAACCGTGGACTGTCACACAAAGGGAAATGCTGGAAAATCAGTGGATGTGGGAAACGGAAAATGGGGCTGGGAGTTAACAAGCAGCAACAACAAGGAGGACCGATTCCGAAGAGGAAATCGCGGCAGAAATCCAACGGAAGCCAAACGTGTCGTCGCGGGTCCAGACAACACACACTGGGAAATGGGCGGGAAAAGCGCGGGAAAATGCAGAGGGGATGGGGGGGAAATAGAGGACGGCATGGGTTAATGGTGCCTGTTTCAGTTCCAACGTCATTTGCCTTTCATTTCGTTGGCCTGCCTTTTATTGTAAATTTACTTTATAAAGGTTATTACCGAGCTCCAGATAAAAACGAGGGAGAGGGAAGGGAGGCAGCAAGAAGTGGAGAAAGTAGGTGAGATAAGCGGTAAGTGGGGGGTGGAAAGTGGGACAGACCGGACTCTTAAATTAAGTTGAAGAGACGACCATGGTGGGTTAATCTATGCCCTTTATGCGGACACTTTGAGCAGCGAATAGAAGTACGATTCGATACAAACAAATCTGACATGAGGGTAATGATTACAATTTGTCTCATATTAATATTAAATTCATATTTTATTTATTCATTTTCTATCATTTATTTACTTGGTAATAGACTTACTAGTTGGCTTGCATTTCAATTTCAATACCGCATGTTACTTAAGTTTTTTGGGGTATCATATATTTAAATGTATTATAAATATAAAAATTTATTAAAACCAATTGCAGAGTATTAAAGAGCTGTGGCAACTCAACTGGAAAATATTGGCGGGCAAAAGAGTGAAAAAATCAGCGACAAGTGCTCGACAAACGCGCCATAATCCGCGCTCGCCGTCACCAAAAGGTTCGCAGGACTCACAGGACATGGACACGCGCGGTTTGTCACCTCGTTGTTGTTGTTGTTGTTCTTTTTGTTGTTGTTGTTGTTTTCACTGTTTTTGTTGTAGAGCTACAGTTTTTTTGTTCGCTATTTTTGCAGCAGACTCGCCGGGCGGAGGGGCTAAATCAAAATTCATGGTTGCTGTTAAAACCGGGTATCAATAGACGAGCGAGGACCCGAGGGTTACACGCAAGTTTAACCCTTTGATGGCCCGCGATTCCCCGCTTTTCACCCCCCTCAATCGCCCCATTTCGCCAACACATGTACGACATGTAAATTGTTTCAATTTGCGGCATTTGCCGTAAAGCTGCGCAATTTTCGACATGCTATGGATACCCATGGACTTCCATGGCCATCCAGCAACCACCTCCCCTTTTTGTGTGCGTGAGTGGGTGGCTTTGACAATTTTTTGTTCACCCCAAACACCCACCTCCTTCATTGAATTTTTTCCACCCATAGTTTGGCACGTCCATCTGTTGGACTCCCAGGAAAAATACCAGAGAATGGGTGGCAAAAAATGGCAAACCCAAATACTAAACTTGTTAAATGTTATAGCTCTATATATATATATACATGCACATATGTGTGTGGACATGTATGTGTGTGTGTGTGAGGGGGGTGGGGAGCTACTGGCGCTGCTACTTTGATGTAGTTAAATTTTAATTGGACTTTCGGTTTTTGCTACCCCCGTCTGTGGTATTTTAGCCGGCAGCAACAACAATGTGAAGTATGTGTGTGTTAGTTGTTATTATGGCATTCGAAATGCTCGCATATTAAGTCCCCAAAAGAAGCTTAACTGGCTAATGGTGGGGTTAAGGTAAGTTGACAGGATTCTTTTCGTGCATTTCCATATTTGGCTTTTGCTTAAGGGATTAGCCAAGGAATACTTGCATTTATAAAAAGGGAAAATGGGGACCCAATTAAATATGAATAAATAAACAACTCAAAAGTGCAATAAATGTGCTCTAAATTTACATCACCTGCCTAACAAATTACTAGTTTTATGAACTCCACTTGATTGCCCAATAAATCTCCGCCTTAATTTCCCCACCTCGCCAATCAATTTATCTTTTCCACTTTTCCACAGAGTTTGCCAGGGAACAAGGCCCGAAATTAACAACATTTGCTAACTGAGAACAAATTAAGTCATGCATTGTTTATAAGTGCTCAGAGTGGGCACCACAGAAGCCCCACTCGATTCGGGATTCTGGATTCTGGATTCAGGACTAAGGATTCTGGATTCTGGTTTCGGGACTCGAGTGTCTGTGTGTTCGCTTTAATGCCTAAATCAACTAAATTTGCGGGCAGCAAACTTATTTCCGGCACGCCTGGAACACTTGCCCCGAACAAACCGGTCGCACGCACCCGGAATCAAGAGACCAAGAAGGAGTGGACACCAAAATTCAACCATAAATTGATGCAGTAACACGCCCTCCACACAACTGCGAACTGCACTTTCCCACTTACCCACTTTCCCGCCTCCCCAGCTCGGAAAAACAGAAAGGAAAAGCAGAGCAGGAAAAAAATAGAGCTGCAGTCTTGCTGCAATCCAATGCAGTGCAATGCAATCCTTTCGTCCTGGTTGCTGGCTCGTCCTGTCCGTCCGGAGACCGAAAAGCGAGCAACCAACAATGCCAAGTTTTCGGTCAACTTTCGGCCAAAACAATGCCCAATCCTGTGTGTTAACCCTCCCCGTGGCCACCCCCTCTTAACCCATGTCCACACGGTGCCCCTCGTCGACACCAAAAAAACACACAGCACACACGGGCCACGCATCTTGTGCTCGTCCTTGGTCCTGGCTCCTCACTTTTCCAGTGCGTGTGCACTGTAAAAAAATTATAGCTTAAAGGGTGAGAAACTAAAAGGTGACAAATCTATTTGGGTTGTATCTAAATTAAGGGTAGGATCGAGATGTGGAATAACTAAAATAAAATAAATAAATAAATGTTCTTCTTAATATTTTTTTTTAAGAAACTATAATAATTTATAGATGTACTTTGCTAGTAAAAACTTGAATAAGCTTGGATTCATTTTTTATCCCATATACAGAAATACCTTTGCAAAAAAGTTTCATTTGAAACTATTCTCCCAAACTCCCTCTGAATTTTGGGCAGTGCAAGTGTGCCGGCACACGTTCTGCTTTGGGTCCTTGCCTCCTGCGAGTGCCTCCTGCAACTGCAACTGGAGATGGCGATGGTGA